ATAATAGATAATAATAATAATAATAATATTATAACTTCATTGTTTTTAATAAATTGTGATTATACAACCTTAATAATGTATTATATTGACTGTTGTTATTGTATTAGGAGAATGGAGTTGTTGGACAGACTTTAGTGAATGTTCAGTGACCTGCGGTGAAGGCGTCAGATCGCGTAAGCGCRATTGCCTGCTAAAAGGTGTATCCACTGATGGATGCGAGGGTCCTTACGAAAGTCTAGAACCGTGTTACGTGCCTTGTAATGACGTGGATATGGGCTGGGAAGACTGGTCCGAGTGGTCAGTTTGCGACAAGGACAACCAGAAACATCGGATGCGAAAATGTGCTTTTGACCATTGTTTTGGGCCCGACATCGAATCTGTTCCTTGCTTTGAGACTAAAGAGATTGGTAAGCATACTGACATTTAGAATAAAAACATATTGCAAATTGGTGCCTAAAATAAAAATACTTATCTAGAAGTCATTTGTGACATGATTATAGGAAGTCGTTAAAATATAAATTTAAAAGAAAATAAAGATAATAATCATATAGTTTCAATAGTAAAATTCTAGACAATTATAAATAAGTTATACTAAAAACAGTAAAAACCAAATAAACGAATTATCTGAACACTTAGATAACGAAAAAACCACCATTGTTGAGATTTTTTCACTTTTTGTTTATTGATTTTTTTGTATCTAGTATATTATTATTAGTATCTACAGAGTAAATAAAAAACAGATCCTCTTAATTTAATTACTTAACAGACTCGAACTGTTGTATCTATATAACTTTGGACTTATAAAATAGACAACGATTATAAAAAAAATAAAAATAATAATAATAGAAAATAATTTAATTTTCTTATGTTCTAACATTTATTTCTTTAACTGCCTATTAAGAAAATTGTTTGAAAAAAAAAACTGTATCTATTCATTTAATTCTCAATGTGTAGCAAATAATAGTAAATACTGATGTCTGTACAAAACTCAGCGATAAATTAAAAAAAGAATTTTGCTCTAACTCGTTCGAATAATATTCACATCCACTCATCCCATCATGCGCACTTGCACCACCACTTTCGCGTCCAATTATAAGTCCATAATATTATACACCCTTATCTCAGTGCATACATCACCCGCACGACCACCCTCCCAACAATCCCATGTAACACGATGAATTAATATCGTGACGAGATTGTAGTTATTAACACGTTTTGTTTTGTTCCGATGCAGTGAGTTCGAGTAGTTCCACTCTACTGGTGTGCCTGCTGTCCTTTTTGGCGGGCGCCCTGGTGGCCGGCGCCGCGTTCTGCGCGTGGCAGAGGCGTCGGAAGCCTAAATTGCCGAGCAGCCCGCACTACATTACCACCAAGCAGAACCCGTACGTGACGGTGCCGATGAAGGATTACCGCGTGCCCGCCAAGCGGACGCCGTCGTTCACCAAACCGACCACAGTCGGCGCGCAGCATCACAGTAACGGTACCGCGACCACCGGCACGCTGCCCAGGCTGTTCAACAAACCGACCGACTACGAGACGGCCACCATCAAGCGGAACAGCCACAGCCTGGTCAACGGGCACGCGATGCGAAACCGTCCCGATTTGGAACAAGAGAAGTTTTTCTAGCCCGCGGCACCGTTAAATTATCATATTATAATTGGTCACAACCATCGCCGCAATCGCCATAATTACAATTATTAAAATAACGCCTTCCCTATCATCGTTGTTATCGCTCGCCGCTCGCAACGATATCGTTATTGCAGACTGACACAGAATTCTGCGACCCCGCCATCATTGTTTACGCGCTGAAGAATTCGGATCGTTCAAGCCGTTACGGAAGYCGTCGGCGTTTCTGGATTTATTAAATTGTTTTATTGCCATCCGATTATTCGGATTTTCGAATGTCCTAATAATAATTAATTTAAACCAGTGATAGTAACGGCTATTTGTGCTTGTTATTGCTAGTCATTACAATTTTTTTTATTTTCGACAATTTCCTTGAGGACATAACTAATATTTAACACGTGATATTGCCATATTGGTAACTATAGTATTTAATATTATTAATATTACGTTTCTAAAATAATTGGTAAAAATCTATTTCTATATTATTTCGTATTGACCAACAATCAATGTGCATAATAATATTATCTTCGGTTTGCGTTTTGTTTCGATAGTTTAATAAATAATATTATAATAACAATTGTTATTAATAAATCAACAATTTTTTTGAACCGATTTGTTTGATAGGAATTACACAAACGATTTGCCCTTTTTTATGTATATATATATACAACCGAAGACTGCGTAAAACCATGACACATATATTATCGTGCGTGTTGTCGTATTACATCCATTATAGCTTATTTACTCTGATAACTGTAAATTATATTATATTCGATTTGAAAAGAAAAAGAAATATCACGTGAAATATCTTACACTCAGTATTGTATATTTATATATATTTTTAATGATTCGAATCGTAAGTCTAAGTTGGTACGWAAGTGCGCAGAATGATGAATAAGAATATTTTATAGTSTTGTACCCTACCTACTTAAAATCAACCTAAAATGTATCTACTTAAAAGTTCATAGCTAAAGACGTTTTGAGTCAGTAGCGTGTGCTCACCTTTTTAATTTTGGGAGAAAGCCCTGGACATGCATTTTTGACTATTCTCAGACAACTATTTGAATAGCSATAAATGTATCATACTATCATTGCTTTATATGAAAAAAATAAACTAAAAAGGATATATGGGAACACACTTGTGTAGAAGAACAGTTCTTTTTTATTTCATATATATATATCGGTACATTACAATTTATACATTAACCATTTTCAAAACACATGAGTTATATGTTTTTGTTGCTAACAATATTAAAAACCACCATTAATATCTTAAAATATAAAA